ATGGTTCATGGGGTCACGAAGAGTCGGACACGACTTAACGACTAAACAACAACAACAGTTGCTTTCAGATACCAACCCTGCTACAACATACAGTGTTGCCAGGATCTGTGCAGCAGCGCTCAAAATTTGTCAGATGATGACCTGTGCTATAAACTATATTTAATGAGCACCTAGCTTGCCATATTAGAGTGCTCTGTAATTTGATATAATCTTCCACATACTAATCTTTTATGCTCCCCTACATCCAGGTAATGCTCCTACCCCTTTTTAAAGATTCTTTTAGAGTCTCATTTTTTATATATACTATAGTTTTTAATTCATATCTTTTATATCTCCTAGCTTTTCATAATTTTTTAGATGTTTATTTTTACTGTCGATGTATCTTTTATGTTTTTTTAATGACGGTAACCCACCTTCCTTATGCTGGTCTATGTCTGTAATAAAGATTTGATTTGATTTGACTAATGAATAGAAGATAAAACCAGAATGTCCTCTTTTTGTGGCAATTAACATGCTACTGGCTATCAGGAATCCTGAACAGAGATCAAAGGAGAACATGAAAAGAATTTGAAGGCTAAAATGACTCAAGAAAAATAACAATGGGCAGGTTAAGCATAGAAGGAATAAGATTTATGTCACTGGGATTATCTGGGAGATGAAAACTGTAAACTATTTAGGAATCCTGACACCCAAAAAATAATGTCAGTATACAGGTAGTCCCCAGGTTATAGATGACCCATAGTTAAGAACAGAGCCTATTGTAGCAAATTTGAGTTAAATACACAATGATTCAAGTTAAATACACAATGGTTTGAGTTTATTACACAATATTTATTTATACAGTATTATACGATAATACTGTTCCAGCTTACATACAAATTCAACTTTAGGACAGACCTTTGGAACGGAACTCGTTCTTAAATTGGGGACTACCTGTATTCCTACCTGGAGGAATGCAACTCAGTCCACATTGACCATCGCACACACACTGTCTCCTTTTTGAACATTCATGGTGTTTACAGCTCCTCTGACAAGTGTGTCCTGTAAGTGCTGCAAAATTCTTTTTCCGGGAAGGACATTTGGAGTCAGTGATATTCCTTGCTGGAGAAAGTAAAAAAGAATAAATGTTTATAAGATGAACTGAAAAAGATTGGGGGGGGGGTAGGAGGATGTGAAAACTGAATATATTCCATACCATTTAGAAAAATATTTTATTGTATTCATTGTTTAAAAAACTACATAGAAAATTTACAACAGCAACAAAAACAAATTATAACAAAACCAGATTTTTAAAAATGGCAATATACACCTGTCCAACGGATAATCTATTTAATCTATTTCAGCAAGCAAGAAGAAAAACACACAAGAACATCCCCAAATAAGTAAATTATTAAATTAATATAAATCACCTAACAATATTGTACTGTATCTGTATTTAATTACAAAGTATCAAACTGCTTATTTAAAATGGTCTGTTTTTGTAAAATATTATGACATCTATGTCAAAGGGAAACTATTATATCATTTGCGGATCATAGAAAAATGGCCTTTTCAAAAATTGATAAATATACATTTCTTGGATCCAAGTTCCTGGGTTAAGAACGCCCAGGTTAGAGACAACCCATAGTTAAGAACGGAGCCTATTGTAGCAAAATTTGAGTTAAATGCACAATGATCTGAGTTAAATACACAATGGTTCGAGTTCATTACACAATACTACTTATAAAGTATTATACAATAATACTGTTCTGGGTTACATACAAATTCGACTTAAGGACAGATCTTG